TCAGTTCTCTTAGAATGAGTCTGGGGGGTTCTTAGCTCTTGAAGGTTTACTTTCTCAGCGTGGGGACTCCTAATATTGGAACTTTCCTTCACAATGCATTTTTTCCCCTCAAACTTGTTCCCTAGTACAAGCTAAGAAAATCCTTGTTTCATTTCCCAATTAATTCCATCGTTTCAATTTGAAGTCAACCTCCGACTTGCATTCCTACATGGTGATTCACAGCACCTTGCCACCTATGACTATTCTTCTACTTCTGGATCATGGCAGGCTAGTCATGTCAGTGGATTTTCAGGGATATCTTCAACTCTTGCATATTCCAAGCCCATGAACTGAATGACATGGGCCTTGTATCCAGGTAGAAATGCTGATTATCTGTGACAGATTATAGAACTACTGTTTAAACCCAACATTTCCAACATTTTTCCAGAACTTGGAAACTCAGCTGCTGCCATTGTCTCCAAGTTTAAAAACCTTTTTCACCTTTTTCCCAGTAATCTAATAATGCCTTTTCCCACACTGCATATCTCTTTACGTCATTTGTATTTAGAAATCTATCAATCTCTACTTTAAATTTACTCATTGACTGAGCTTTCTCTGCCCTCTGGGCTAAAGAATGCCAAAGATTCACAACCCTCTTCAGTAAAATAAATTCTCCTCATTTTGGTCCTATGTGACTTCCTCATTACTTTGAAATTGGGTCCCTGGTTTTGGATTTCTGAGCAGTGGAAACATTTTGTCTGCGTCTATTGGGCAAATAATCAATCCTTTAAGTATTTGTAGATTTCAATGAAACCTGCAAATCATCCCTCAATCTTTGGAGCTCAAGAGAAAGCAGGCCATCTTCATAGGACAGTAAATTTTACGTTACAAAAAAAATTGAGCTTATTCACCTTGCTATCCTTTCCGTAGATTTCATTTAGCAGTACTAGTCGTTGAATTCTTGTGTGGCTGCAATCTATTGTAGGATAAGGGTGGTAATTCCAACTCTGTCACACAATTCAGTATATTTCTTAAGAAACTAATATTTAGGTAATTGGTATGTATGTGACCCTGTAATGAGTAGTGTTCAGTACCTGTGAGTCAATTACAAAGCAGCAATTCAGAGAAACATAAATTGAACATTGTATTTTTGGATTTGATAACATTTTCATTTTGATTGAATAGTAGCTTTTAAAATATCTTTTAAGCTATATTAAAATAACTTGCCAATTAATGGTTATTTTTGAGCCCATCTTCCCCGCTACTCCTCATAAACTAGTTTTTGTTTTTCTCCTGTATATTATGTTGGGGCAATTTAATAAATCACAATTGGAAGTGACTCAGAAATGTTTTCAAATCAAATATATGTGTTGAAACCCATCTGGAAAATAGAAGTGGAATAGTCCTTCTTTCCAACAGGTATTTCGAGAATGGTCGCACTTGTCCCAATTGACTGGAATATCAAATTTCCAGTTCTGGCTGTAAAGACTAGCATTCTAACAAACCAGATCTGTCGTTTTCATTATCCATTGAAAGCTCTCTATTATTAAAACTATCACATGCTTCTGTTTTAAATGTAAATGAAGACTAAAGTGAGAATCAATTCTTAAATATCTGGAAATATGACATTAGCTCCTCTAGGAAATAGATTGGTGAACATGGGAGCAGGCCATTCAGCCCTTCAAGCCTGTTCCACCATTCTAGATCATGGATGACCATTGACATCAGCACTGTTTGACCATGCTTTCCCTTATGCCTTGATGTTATTCATGTCTAGAATTCTGTCATTTTCGGTCTTGAATGTGCTCTATAACTGAGCTATCACAATAAAGAATTCTTTATCACAATAAAGAATAAAGACTCTGCAATAAAGAATTCAGAAGGCTCTCTGCTTCCTGAGTGAAGAAATGCACTTTTGTTTCAGTTCAAAATGATTTGCCCCTAATCTGAAGACTGGTTTTAGGCACCAGCACTACCATTACTGCCACCCACCAGCCCTGTCTTGTTTACATCTGTCATTTACAATGTAACCCCTCAAGAATTGAGTAAGTTTCAATTGGATCATCTGCCATTCTTCTTAATTGTAGAAAGTACGTATCTAACTTCCTTGGTACCTCCTCATAGGACATTCCTGCCATCCAACTAATTGGCTGGGTGAATCTCTGCTGCTCTCCGTACATGTAAACTATATTCTTCATTGGGTATGGATCCAAACTGAATGCAACATTCCAGGTGCAGTCTTGCAAGATTCTGTAAGTGGCAGGAAGACATTTTTGTTCTTGTACTCAAATCCCCTTGCAGGAAATGTTGTCATATTGTTAACCTTCCTAATTGCTTGCTGCATCTGCATGTTAGCTTTTAGTGACATCTGAACAAGGATACTCTGGTCCCTTTGGACATTAATAATTCCCAATCTCTCGCCATTTAAGGAATATTCTGTGCCTCTGTTCTGTGGTGTAAGGTGTGTTTTTTTAATACATCATTTATTTTAGATTTTGGCTTTTGAACTAATGACATGAGTGCTTTGGTCTATTTGTGTGAGGGGGATTAATGATTAGCTTGACAGTGTTCCTAGAGCCATAATTTTAACAACAAAATCTAAGAGAGAATCCCTGGAGTGATATTGGGAATTTGAGAGTTTTATTACTGATAGGGCAAACCATTGAAAAAACATTAGCTTACTTTCAGTTTAGAAGAATGAGGAATTGCTTCTATTTTGCTCAGGGAAAAAAAACCCTAACTTGGAAATTGTTTGCAGAAGTCCTTGTTGAAGTTAAATCTAATTAAAGGATAGATTATATGTATAACTTAATGTTTTAATCATTTGTGTAATGTTTAAGTGTTAAGTCTCTGCCTTGACATGTTGTCAATACTGTGTAAAACAAAATCTTGTATACCGTACGTGAGAGATCTTAAAAGTTTTCCAATGTAACATGCCCCTGTATCTTGAATTAAATCTTACTTCAATCCAGGCTAACAAAAACTGTTTACGATTCCACAAGGTTCGTCTTGTTTGTATATGATACAATCCATCAGCTCCTGCTCAAACCGGTATTGGTATAATGACTACAAACATTCAAGTAGCTTGCCAACAAATCACAAGCAGGTTGAAATTACAACTCCGTTCTCTTCCTATATATTACCAGAAGATTGTTATGTAAAGTAGGTTTCAAGCTGTGATGAAGTGCTAAACCTTTCATCTGTGTTGCACTACTTAGCTGTTCATTTACACTAATACTAACGAGGAATTAAAGCAGGCCACTTGGCCCTTCAAACCTGCTCCACCATTCAATAAGATCATGGCTGATCTGGTTTTAACCTCA